GAGAGAGAGAGAGAGAGAGAGAGAGAGAGAGAGAGAGAGAGATATCATCCCTATGAACATACAAGCTGCTCTCTGCTGATTAGGAGCGACAGATGGGAGGATTTCTGCTGCGTTAGAGACAGTGAGGGAGAGGATCCCGTGATCCTATGCGAAGATGACAGCATCCTCTCCCTCACACACACACACACACACAGAGTTACACAGCACAGCACACACGAGACACGTGCGTGATTGCTACAGTACAGGGAAACAAGGACAAGCTGACTCTGTTCTTTTTTAAACGGGGGACTAAAAGCCTTTCTGTTTCCCTTAAGAGACCTTTTACTCATGCTTTGTGTTTGTATGTAGTATATATCTATCTGGCGACCATCATGTATTTTGTAGAGGGGGCTTTATAGTGTACTTAAAAAAAAAACAAACGCGTGAATTTTTTAGGTCCTGATGTCTGTATTGGCAGAGCATGCACACACGGCACTAAGATAAAGAAATGACATTAAAGGACATCATCTGTTTAAATGATTCAAACAATCTGCTTTACAGTCATGAAATACAGCACACATTTAACTTATAAAAGACGTTATGTTTAACCTTGTCCAAGAAAAGTTACACACTCAAGATGTCATCAGTGATGTGGATCAGACTCAAGTCAAATTTCTTTTATTTTCCAATACTTTGCTCTTTTCTTTTGCTCCTTTGCAACATTCAATATTCCTGCTGTGGAAATAAAAAGTAATTGCTCATTTGTGTTGTAGTGGGGCAAACCTCTCACAGAAAGAATATTAAAGAGATAAATTTGCATTTGAATGAAAGCTAAATGATCTTTAATTAAAACGAGGTGAATGCAATTATCATCAGAGATTCATCTGGTGAGTTTATCAGACATTATTACGGCACCAGGAGCTCTCAGTTTATGACCTATTAAAAGGCAGCGCACTAAACAACACATTGTTCACTGTCCTCATGGCCATATTGATTATCAGCTGGTGGAGATTATCAACCATATGGATTTGCATTTAGCTGCTTTATTTACAGTAGGATTCTAAAGGAACTTGCAGATTTACAGAGAGCCAATGACTGGAGGTCAGTGTTTCCTGACCACAAACCACAGCATGCATTAACAGTGTACTATAACAAAACAATGTCACTATCGTTGCTCAGCAATGGACTCACTCTGTTTTAAATCAGCAGGCTATTACAGTATGGATGGAGTTGTAGTACTCAGAGAGACAAGATCAATTTTAAATACTTTAATGACTAAAGCAACATTAGCATTCATTTTATTACATTTTTCAAAGGTAACTTTCTTGGTTGTCACTTACTCATAATTACAATTCCTGGCAAGTACCATCTAAACGGTTCACCCTGTTCAACAGCTAGCAGTTAACTTTGGCTATGTGTGATCTGCAGCTAGTGGACACTGGGCTTGAGCTACAGTGTGTTTACAATGAACAACAGGTTCTTGGTGTGATGACAACTGAGACACTGAGGTTTAATGCTAAAATGCTCAGTAAAGCTGAAAGGAACGGACAGGCAGGCTCACAGCCCCTCCTCTCACTAGCAGCTGAACACCTGAACAGTAGTTGTGGTTCACGACGCTAAAAAAGGAGGAACTTAAAGCTCCCATTTCAACAGCACTTAAATTTTAAAGAGTTATCACAAATGCTAAACTGGCTGGCACACATGTTAACCATAGCCATTTAACTATTAGTAGTACCTGATAGCTGCATTAGCTATCTGTTAAGTTACAATTAAGGTAGTGAGTAGTGGCTAGCAGTCATCATT